GCGCCGACCCCCTCCGCTGGCGTCGTCCTCAGACGCCGCCGCGCGGCGCTGCGCCGACATCCTTTACCGCATGACAGACGACATGCGCTACCGGTATCGCCTGTCGGACGACGCGCCGCGATCGGGAAGCCGCCGCGGCCTCCGCAGCCACCACCCGCTGGAGAATAGTACCTTAAGGAGGAAATGCGATACGGTCGCACGCGGGCAGCAGATGCGCTGCTTGTGGAATCAAGATACTTTCCTGACGAAACGAAACTAATGAAAAAAAACGAGGGGGATGGAAATTGCTTTTTTCTCTAGATTGTCATGGTCGACTATATTATGGCACAGAGAAAGTGTATCACAATGTTTAGGGTACTTTTAGATCGATGAGAGCAAAAAAAAACATGAATATGTCCATCACATTCTATTGGTTATCGGTTATTGGTGCTGTTTTTGCTTTATAGATAGGTTCATTTTTTCAGATTATAATGAATTAGAATTTATTAGAGCAATGAACCGAAAGGTTTTGGAAGGTAAAGAAGAAAATAGTGATCATTCAGAAATAATATAGAAACTTATCGCTGGAGAAATGTAATTATTCTGCTGAAAATTACGCTGTTCAAATGATTTGTAGATTGCATACACATTAGCTGTCTGCGCTTCAGGGTAATGTGGCTCCTAAACATATGGATAGATTGAGATTCATGCAACATTAATATTTACGATTGGTTATTCCATCTGACACTGATAATATTTCTTGTGTATTGGAGCGTATATATATATATATTCTGGTAATCTTAAATTGATAGAACTATTCCAAGTATCATCTTTTTGTTGTTGTTCCTGGAGAATGATGAAAATGTAAATCAACACCAAAAATAGCCATCTTTTTTAGAATGGCGGTCCAAATTTGTGCCTTTTTGGTTATTCTCTAGAAATCTTTTATGTTACGAAAGAAGTCTGCAATCGGATACTGTTAATAAAGAACAATTATAAACATATACTCGCACAAGTGGCATGCCTTTGTTCGGGAATTTAAAGCAGTCAAAAGCTGATGAAGGAAGATTGTCAAAGGTTATATTATTCTGAAAGTTTCCCCCTGAATGAAATCCTTAGGTGAGTTGTATTAGCGGATACATTTCTTTTTTCTTCATTTCACCTTTTCGATGTTCCTACATATACGTATTGTTATTGGATCGCTTATAACTTTCCGAAAACAATTGTACCTACACACACTATAAATTGTACAATGTATGCTGAAATCGCGATTACTCAGCGATAAACCAGCTTGGTAATATATATTCAAAAATAACCAGAGATGCTTCGGATATTCTAAGCTATTCTAATCCCCAACTAAAACTATTATCTGGTCTAACACAAAAGCCTAGCATTGAATGATTTTACACATATGGCGTCCTCGAGGATGGTCCGTTACTTACGCACTTCTCCGTCGGGTGCACCTCAACCTATCCATCGGGGGGGGGCCACGACTCCCCATCCCTCACGTCCAACAACGGCGGGGCGGAGTGTCCTCGTGCAACAGCGGCACTCCCCTACCCGAAGGCCTTTACGTCCAACAGCAACGGGAAAGGCTGCCCTCATGCGACAGCAGCCCCTCTCTCCTCGAGGGCCCTCCCATCCCTCACATACAACAACAACGAGAAGGAGTGTCATCGTGCGACATCAACCCCCTTCTCTCCGAGGGCCCTCCTATTCTTCACGTCAAACCGCAACAGGGAGAAGTATCACCGTGCGACTGCAGCCCCCCTCTCCCCGAGGGCCTTCCCATCCCTTATATCCCAAAACGACTGGAAGGGATTCCATCGTGCAGCAGCGGCACCCTCCTGTCCAAAAGCCCTCCCAACCCTCACGGACAACCACCACAACCAAAAAGCCGGCCCTTGCGCAACAGCGGCGCCCCCCTCCCCGAAGCCCCTCCCAAC